TTCATTTAATCCATGACTTCGGGCTCCATCTGTCGTAACGGTCTTCTATGGCAGGAGAGCTGATGTGTGGTGATGGGCGGTCACTTGCTGCATCCGGAGCTCACGGCTGATGTATCTGGTGCGGCCCATGCCCACAGTCTGCAGGTTGGGGATGTTGATCTTGATGAAGTTGTTGGGTGCCAGTTGTTGAAAACCAGGTCCAGTCTCATCATCACTGTGCTGTGCTAGGTTTCATCAAAAGTCCATCCTTCTGTAGTCTGGGTGATTCTTACTATGATACTACTGGTATAATATATAACAATTATAACAGTGATAACAGACAGTGACAGGGTTATTTAGCAGTTAGCTTTATACAATTTATTTATGGACTGTTCTCCCCCAAAATCAAATCCCCATGAGGTACACATCGGACTTCCCCATCCTTTCGCGTTACCCACCAGGTACACCCAGGTCCTTGAGCAAAAGCAGTCCCGCGGACGGGCTTGCCTTTGCCCGAGGCAGCACTAACCCAAACTGTCTTCCCTAACATGTTCCACGTGCACTACGGGGACTTTATCCCCTTCTATGGGGCGCTGAGGTTTTGCTTGGGCAGGACCAGCCCGGTTGGTGGATCCTCTGGTGTTCACCAACCAGGTGGCCTTTGCTAAATGAGTATCCCAATTTTTGAAAGTCCCACCCCCCCATTGCGCTCAAAGTGGTTTTTAGCAGCCCATTGTAACGTTCGATCTTTCCAGAGGCTGGTGCATGGTAGGGGATGTGATACACCCACTCAGTACCATGTTCTTTGGCCCAGGTGTCTATGAGGCTGTTATGAAAGTGAGTCCCGTTGTCCGACTCAATTCTTTCGCGAGTGCCGTGTTGCCATAGGACTTGTTTTTCAAGGCCCAGATTGGTATTCCGGGTGGTGACATGGGACACAGGGTAGGTTTCCAGCCATCTGGTCGAACCCAGGACACCTTTACAGTTTGAAATGGCAAGGCAAGCCCGCAGCCTGATTCTTTGTTTCTCTGTGCGAGCAGTGCCATGGGCAGATGAGGCTGAGCAACAGCTATCCTTCTGGGTGGAAGCAATCTGTAGAGGATTGCAGTATAAGGGCAGAGAGGCGGCAGGGTTCCGGTAGAGACCCACAGGCTGTGTTTGAAGTTTGACCTGGCAAGGCAAGCGCATATCCCCAGTCTATGTTTGCCTGTGTGAGAATTATGATGGGCAGATGAGGCTGAGCGAGAGCTATGCAGGCTAGCCCCTTCTGGGTGGGAGCAATCCGCAGAGGTTTGCACTTGCAGGGCAGGATTGTGGCAGGAGTCCATGAGAGAAAGACAGGGTACATATGTTTGGGAATATTGTATGTGAACAAAGGTCATGATGTTCTTGAGAGTTTCTGAACAAGAGAGAAATAAGGATATTATGAATTGCAAGAGGCCTTTGGCA